GATTTCTTTTGTTCATCTACGTTTTGATGATTTCATTTTATAATTCAATTGTTTCATCAAGACACGTTTCCTGATTATAACTCATGACAATATATGAAATCCAAATTTTTAATATTTTAATATAATTAAATTTTTAAAATTTATCATTTATACAATTTCCTTTATTACGTTTCCTTAATTAAGATTTATTAATAACTTACATATTTAATAGAAAATATTGTAAATGACCGAAATACCCTTATTGATTAAATTTAATTAGAAAAAAAAAGAAAAATTCCTATTGGTCAAAATTGGTTTACATGGTTTTTTAGAAATACACGGTTTTCATTTGAACGTGTCCATATATATTAATGATGATGATTGTAAACACATTTTATTTTTATATAATAAGATTTGTTTCGCAAAAATAGGATCATCCAAATAAGATATTCTTATGACTCAAACATAATGAGTTGACACAATGAATCTCACCATTCTTTCTTATACACATATTCTTATTGCAAATTTTTAATCTTTCACCAATGTATGATATCTCAAACTCAACTACAATTCACCAGCACCTTAATACATAATTATCATGATGTCACGTAAACACATATGAATTCTTCTTTATATATATATATATATAATAAATTATTAATAACAAAAGTGAAAAAGGTCTCGTCCTTGTTTGGCTTTAAGTATTTGTTTTATTAGATAAGATTTGAGAAATTATGAACATCAAAAACCATTTTGAAGCTTGGTCAAAAGTAAGTAGCAAGTAGTAACTAGTAACTAGTAACTAGTTGGTTGGATTAATTAGAGTGAAAAGAAGAGAAGCCAAACTCACTCACATCTTTTGTTCAATAGATTCTCTTTATTATTATTATTATTATTGTTTAGAAACCCAACTTAACCCAACCCATTACACATAGACATAGACATAGACATAGACACACCCACTGCACACATAGTTTGTCCTTACTCACTATCTACTTTAATTTAATAATCCAAGCTAGTCAGTCCTCCACGTGCTTCTGGGGACTCCAACCCAAACCCTCACTCCTCACCCCTCACCCCTCACCCCTCACCCTTACCCTTCATTTACAATACCCTTTGACCCTTAATTTCTCCTCCCACATGAGCAAGAAACATCACACCCCCAACCCAGTTTCAGATTCAAGATTTGAGATTTGAGATTTGAGATTTGAGATTCAAGATTTGCATTTTTCATCTGATGATGGAGGATGACACTGGAGATGGCAGCATGCTTTGCACAGATCATCCTTTCAAGAACAACACTCCTGCTGGTGGTATCTGTGCCTTTTGTCTTCAAGAAAAACTAGGCAAGTTGGTTTCTTCTTCTTTTCCAATAGCTGTTTTCCCAGCTTCTTCTTCTTCCTCTTCTCCTTCTTTCAGATCTGCAGAAACCACCACAAACCCTACTTCCTTATTGCCTTCAAATACCACAAACCCAACAACCACCACCACCACCACCACAACAACAGCAAATAATAACGATCACTATCACTATTATTCTAATCGCTCTCGGATACTTTACTTGCTTACTAGTCAAAAGAAGAAGAAAAGCAAAGATCTCAACATCATCGTCGATGCCCATGCCAATGCCAACAAGAATCATCTAGTTTTCAAGAGAAGCAAGTCGACGGCCACCCCTAGGGCTCGTTTCATGGAGAATGACAGTGACACCCCCAATAAACGTGGGTTTTGGTCTTTTCTCTACTTAGCCAAACACTCCAAGACCATTTCCTCCAGTGGTGCTGCTCGACTCCAAACATGTCCACAAGACAAAGATATGATGGTGGTGGAAGAGAAGGAGTGTGAGGCATCCTTTGACAGGAAGGTGTCGAGATCCAGATCCGTGGGGTGCGGCAGCAGGAGCTTTTCCGGCGACTTGTTCGAGAGAATCTCAACGGGGTTCGGTGACTGCACGCTCCGGCGAGTGGAGTCGCAACGAGAAGGGAAGTCGAAAGTGTCGGGCAACGATTGCATCAAGGAAAGGGTGAGGTGTGGGGGTTTATTTAGTGGGTTCATGATCACGTCGTCGTCTTCATCGTCGTCGTCGTCGTCTTACTGGGTGGGTTCAAATCCAAACGAAGGGAATGGAAAAGGGGGAGGGGTGCAGCATTCTCGAAGCAAGAGCTGGGGATGGGCGTTAGCAAGTCCAATGAGAGCATTCAGCAAACCATCGAGCAACAGTAAGAGAGAGAAGCAGAATCCAAGTCCAAATTTGGGTGCAATCCCTTCGTTGTTGTCCGTGAGAAGCTGAAAGAAAGATTGTATGGTTAATTATCTTTGATTTGATTAAATTATGTTAATGAAACAAGAAGAAGAGAAATCAAGGTAATTAAATAAATGTTGAAATTATATATACCCTTTGAGAGGTGAGTTGAGAGTTGAGCACACATATATTTTTATTTTCTATTGGAACTGGAATCTTTCTATATGTTAATTGTTGTTGTTGTTGTTGTTGTATGATTATATATATATATATATATGCTCTGATTTATGTTATGAAACTTATAAGAAAATGATGATGAAAAAGGTTGGTAGCTTTTGAAAAGTCTTGGCTGGGGCTGGGAGGGTAGAAGAAGAAGAAGAAGAAGGCTTTACTAGATTTTTATTTTGCAAATGCAATGATTTGTATTTTGATGATCTACTCTTACTAATCACTAATAATACAAAACCTTGCAACAATCCATTTACATTTTACCTCTACTTTATGGTTGAAAAGATGCATAGAATTTGATTATAAAAAACAATAATTATAAAAATTGAATTTGTTATGGTAATGATTTTAAGATTGAATAATGAACATGAATGTATTATTAAATGTTTTGAGTGAGTGAGTGGTATATTTTGATAGACGTGACAAGAGGAAGAGACATCCTTCTCAACTTTTTTAATTTAATTTAATTTAATTTTGAACTCTTAATTAAGGCTTTGTTTCTTTTTGATGAGGATGACGTTGTTTCTTCCTAACCATAATAAGCTTTCTCAAATCCAAACTATACCAAAGGTTAAAGATGAAAAGTGATAGTAGCAGAATTAAAAACAATCAACGAAATGAATGGTTCTTTCCTTTGGGAATGTGATAAGTGCATGCTTAATAACACAATTGCTTGATGAAAAAGTGGTCCACGTATCCATCCCATGCTCTACAACTCTTGTCTGCTTCATTTCAATTTACAACACAATTGTATGTGTACACAAAGCTAATCTTTAATTAAGCGTCTGCTTTGGGTGTCAAACACTCAACTAATTACTATTTACTATTTACTATATAGACAGTTCCATTTGAATCTGAGTCATTTATTTTTAGATCCAATGATTGATGGAAATTAAGTTCCTATGTTCTTAATTGTTTTTTTGAACCTCCTATCCTATCCTATATGTAAATTTATTAGCATCAAAATCAATTTATTGTGGGATTGGAATGATTAAAAACTTGGACACCCCAACATTTTTATTGTGATGCTATTATCTTGTTTGGTATTTAATGTTCCATAATTATGTTTTAATAATTTCATTCCTCTTTAGATAGTTGTGATATTTAATTTGGTTTTAACAAGTCCATTAATTTGTATAAACTATGTAAACCAGTCTCATCCATTTATTTTCTTGATCAATGGTCAAAATTAGTTTAGGTTATATTAAGAAATTAAAATAAATAAAAATTTATTTTATAATCCCTACAAGGGTAAAATGGTAATTTTAGTAGTGGTTTTATTAATGGCTACCATATCATGTTATATCATTAAAATAAATTCAAAACATTGTAACACCATGATTACAAAACAAACACTTACCAACCTTCATTAAATAAATTTTAGTTTCAAAAACCTCAAGATACGGGATAGCGATTTACAACCCAAAATACATTATTTTAAGACTTAATAAATACATAGCTAACATAATCATCGGGGACATGTCTACCCAGAATATACATATTATGAACAACCCAAAAGTATAACTTATACCTAAACTCAAAAGTAGGCTTTACACGTCAATCCCTAATCGATCATCCGACCTTGTTTTTGCCTTTGCCAATTTGCCCTGAAAAATTAAAACCACTAAAAGATAAGCTATATGGCTTAGTGAATTTATGTGGAAAAATGTGGTTACAATGTGTTATATAAGCGTACATACTACGAAATAAAGAAGGTCTCGAAAGAAATTTTTGCATAACAACACGACAACAACTTAGTTGTACCACATGATGTCCTTTACAACAACCTAYTTTGAACGTGGGAATCACAAAAGAATGTTCAACATAGAAAAAGAACATCAATATAATCAACATCATACTCGAGATCAAGCAAGGTCACATACCAATTAACTTCACACACAAACATAAGACTTGRCACCAAATCCGCCCTTCTTCTTCTGGATTATGCCAAAGTCCTATACTCACCCCCTGGCTCCCACTGGGCAGTGAGTATGGCAGCCCCTCCGGTTGTATCACCTGGACTCCATGGGATATCGACAATCGGCACCCAAAACACACCACAAGACAATACAATCAATAAGACCAATTTGAGATGATAATCTAGAACTGACATGAATCATGGATAAACAATAAAACATCATAGCATATATAATCAAAAAGTACACATATATGTCCACATAAACTCACCATGTTGTTTAATGAAATCGGTTGATCAAACCGGAAGCCAAACCGAAAGGTCGAATCCTAACTCCCGTTCAGTGGTTGGAAAGCACTTCCAAGGCCTTAAATTATGCTTAAATAACACCTGGAGTTCATATATAAAGTCTTATTAGCAATGCACAACAATAAC